GAAACGTCGATAAATCTGTATCAGACTACACGGCGCAGAATTACAGAAGACAGTAATTTTCATTACCAAGTTAACAAGAGCTTGCCACTGCACCCTGTCCTGGCCCAGAGGAGTTCAGTCCACATTCCCACACCGTATTTGTTTAAGACGCATCTTTTTATTATTCTTGCACCCGCGCTTAGGTTTTATCCTACTGTTACTTCATCCCTGTAGGTGCAGATATTTTCCTCCACGCTTTCTTCTTAATCACCCTCTGTCTATTTTATGTTTTGAGGGTGGAGTTGATTGGCACACTTACACAGCCATCGTCAATGGGTTTGTAATTGGTCTCTATTTCATGGCCCCTTAATAAGACATCGTCGATAAACGATAGTTGGAAGTACTCGGTCACTCACGGTAGATGGAAATGCAGAAATGTCCCGGCCGTTTGTAGCACGAAGAGTTGAATGGGCCTGCAGCCGGTGCGGACGGAGTAGACAAGAGGAAAGTCTGTTGCCTGTGCCGGGATCGGACCTCGTCGTCCAACACGTAGGAGGATCTTAAAATACCCTTTACAAAAACTCCGGGTTATATTTTCAAAATGATTGTGAGAATACGTGGCTACTACCTCGTGTAGTCTTTGTCTCTTTCTAGACACATAATGGCACAGTCGACTCGTATCAGCGTTTCAGATATTTTCTGCTAGACGCTTATTAGCCAGTCACCATGGTTACGGACTTGTACCATCCTTTTCACTGGTCAGGTCGATCAGGGTCACATCTAACAACTGCATTTAACCCGTGTTACTAGAAAAGACGGTCTTGTAGTGTAATTGTGTCAAATTCCGTCTAGCTGCCCGCCCATGTCTGTCCTTATAACATTTGAAACTATTTACGAAATGTTGTGAAACTCTACTTGTTCATCTTGCCACTCCAACTTTGCACTACTTAATATCTTGTCATCGGTAATACCTAGAAGGCTGCAGTTTCTAGGACTGGAGCGACTCTAGTATTTTGTGTAATATGTACTTTATGTGTTTGTTCCTGAAATTTTGTGGCGTAATAGATTTAAAAAAAATATGAACGTTTTATTCAGTGTACTTGTAGAATGGGAAACAATACCTCAAGAAATATGGACTTATCCTTCAGAGAACTTACGATAAATAATGGATAATTTTAGCTAGGCGTGTACATGTTTAATTTCAATGGCTACTGAGAGATAAAGAGGGCAGAAACTTTTAGTATCACGTCGGTTTATAGTCAATGCTATGAATATGTTTAGCTGTAAATTCACGTCCCATATGTTACTCCTTTGCGAATTCTGTCTTGGTAGTGACTTAAGGTGCTGGCTCATGAAAGTCAGTTCTCTTGAATGCTTCAGTTTTCAAACTTGCGCCCATTATTTTCACTATGTGCCCAATAAACCACTGAATTTGTTCGTAAACGCCTCGTATTCATTGATAAATTCGTGGGTTGTGTA